AAAAAAAGAGAGAATGAAAACTGGTGGTGGTAGAGTGGAGACAATGGATTCTAGTAATTCAAATCAGAAGATATGTGCTATGATACCGTCACAAATGCACCCTTTGCAGAATGATTTTGATAACGATGTGGATTTCCATCAAGATAGCTTCACTTTGGCTCAACCGATGTCTGATTAAACATAATTTGAATTTCTCAAATCCGCAAATCTAATTTCAATAAAAAGTAGATATTAATATGTCTCTTCGAGTTTGACAAGTGCTGTGGACATTTCGAAAGAAGATAAATTACGAGACTGATTCCACGTCTTCGAAATAAGTTGCATATGCACGATTCGAACTGTTACGTAGCACCTTACTTTAAACAATCCCTTCTGCATTGGTACTGAATTTTTCAATTCCAGCGGAACATTGTGTCCAGATACAAATACAGTTCCAACACAGAAATCATCACGTGTTCCATGTGTACAGTCAATTGTTCCAATTATTCCTGAAAACTGCGTAATGTCGTAAAAACCTCGTTCTATTGTTTTTATTTCATTTTCATCTGGAAACGTAATTACCTCAGGCCTATGAATAGCTACAGCCCTTGATACCAATTTCACTATTCGGGAGACACTGGATTGATGAACGCCCATTATGTCCCCCACGTTTATTTGGAAAGAACCACTAGTATACCAACAAAGACATACCAATAACTGTAGTAATGGTGGGATATGTACAGTTTGGTCACATCGATGATTGAACTCATTTCAAAAATATGCAGAACGCCATCCTTCGGAAATCTGAAGCGTTTCATAAATTCACTCTCGTCTAGATCTTCTATTGGATTTGAGCGGTCCGTGAATCTCCTCTCCACATGGTAAATATCTATAATTTGGTGTAATTGGTTGAAATAATCTTCCATTGTCACAATTTCAATCGCAAACGTATATAAAGTACGGCTAAAGTCTGCTACCACCCTATCTTAGACTTTACTTTAGTTTTGTCCACAAAACGCTCGAGTAAAGCATGACTTACATCAAAGATCGAGCGCAGCATAACTAAAGTCTGACTTAAGCTTGACTTTTAGTAAAGTTCGACTAAAGTTCGACTGCAGCATACGGCCCTAAGAATACTTCTTTTTAAAGAAGCTGACAAGAAGACTTCATCTATGTATAAGAAACTTACCTTCGGCTTCAGTTTCAGTGGGTTCATTTAGTGATCTAAGGGAAATAACTTTCTAGACTAGGACAACAATGGATTTTAATTTTTTCTTCCAGGAATTTCTGAATCCCTCCAATTTTTTTGCGCTGACTTAAGAGACTTGCATTGGTGATT